GAGGAAGGGACCCCCTCGTCACCACGGCTGGACGCGGCTCGACAAGAATCTCAGTTTCGACACCGGGCGGGGTCGGGTACCGATTTTGAGCGAGTTTGCTTTCATCCCCACTCTTGACCGATGTGTTCTGATATTTTCTGATCTTGCCCAGATCCCCCCCCTTTCGGAGTCCTCTGGGGGGGGCAGTTTTGGGAGCCCCTTGGGAGCATCTTGGAGGCCTCTCGGGAGTCTCTTGGGAGCCTCTTGGAAGCCTCTCGGGCCCCCTGGGGGCCTCTTGGAGCCTCCTGGGGGCCTCCTCTTGCGGGCCTCGTGGGGCCTCCTAGGAGCTCTTGACCGATGCTCTCTGATATTTTCGGAGCTTACCCAGATCGATTCCCCCGGCCGCCTGTAACAGGAGACCTTCTCCAAGGCTGGCGGCGTCGCGAGCCTGACGGCGCAGGACGACGACCTCTTCGGCAAGGTCGCCTTCAAGACGGCGGACGCCGCCTGGGAGGCGAAGATGAGGGTCGACGGCACACAGCTGGCGGGGAGGATCTGGGGCAACGTGAGGGATCACCGAGCGCCCTCCACTACTCGCAATGTGCCTACTTGCGAACGACGGAGAGAAAATACAGAGCTGCCTCGACGTAACGGATCGTAGCTTCCCGCGACGGATCTAGGCCATTTGCGAGTAGCTACTTCGCGAGTAGTGGAACGCGCTTGTCCAAGGGAGGGAAAGGCTCAGGGAAGGGTCGAGCGTTTTCGGTCGTTGTCGAGAGTTTCCGGAACCCAGGGTGGTTTCCATCAGCTGCGCCTCGTCGGGGGCGCTCCGTGGGTGCCAGGATCGTCCCGAAAGGCCGCCAGACGGTAAGAAGGGCACATGCACAGGGGGGGGATGTATCGACCCAGCCCAAGAGCGTGCGGATTCGCTATCGGGAGCATGTCGCCGCTGTATCGGCGATGTATCGCCGATTCACGGTCGATGTTTTACCCTCCCCCATCCCACGAGTTGGTCCCCCCAACGTTGCCCCCCAGAGGAGACTGAGGGTAGAGTTCGACATCAACGACGAGACCCTGAGAAAGCTGCTTGTGCACGGGATACGGCCCGACGTCGGTCCGAAGGCCCTGAACCTGCACTTCGGGGGCAAGGCGGAGGGCGTGTCCTTCGCCAGCATCCACGGCGGCTACGAGGTGAGGGTGCACTACAAGGACATGTTCTCCGCCAGGGACGCCATCGCCCAGCTGCGAGGGAAGACCCTGGAGGGTGAGGCGGTCAGCTGGGGCAGGATCATGGACGTAGACTGGCCGTGGGACGCCGTGCCGGGGGGCGCCGAGGTCAGGGTGCGGAACCTGGACTCGGGCAAGACCGAGGAGCAGATTGCCCAGCGCTTCGGCGAGGTCGGCGAGGTGATGCTGGTTGAGAGGCGGTCCGGCGGGCTCCCGTTCGAGTTCTGCGACTGAGGGGGGCGCTCCCTGCGCGGGACTCCCTGGCGGCACCCGTCGCTGCGGGCTCCTCCTCATCTCCCCCCCAGATTACACAGCATGAGCACAGTGGGGGCCCATGCCAAGAAACACTCTACCTGCCTCCAGGGTGCCCGGGATTTCTTCGGTCTCGATGGTTTTGCAATTGATAGCGTGACGTCCCCGAGAATCGACGGACGTGCTGGGGTCTCAGGGTTGGGTTTCTTGTGGAAGGTTTCTTGTGGTCGGGCCCCCACTGTACCATTCAGGAGTGTCGCGGAGTTGTCTTTCGGCATTGCCGTTTCCCGCTGGAACCTTCTCCCACTGCAGCATCTGCCACATTCCACGATCTCCAGGGAGCCCCGTCTTTGCTTTCGAAATGGCTTTTCTTAATTAGAACGTTCTTACGTGATGCTCTCGCTGCAGTACCTGCCACGATCAATGAATGATCTCCAGAGAGCCTCGGAATGCCGCCCTCGCCATAGTGCTGGCAGTACTCCTGCATCAGACCAAGTTGCGCTCCAGCAGTAGAGTTGGCTCCTCGATGCCCTCCCAGCTCTTGGATCCGAGGGGTCAAGATCCTCCGAGATTGGGCCCCGTAGCAGTTTTGGCTCGAGTTAATTGCCGTCGCTGTCGCAGAACGTGCTCACGCTGCCGTCCCCGTGGGCTCGCAGAAGGGCCAGCCTGCGAGATCCACGCCCGCGCCCCGAGATGAACCCTGCACAGGCGCAGACACTTCTGCAGTCGGCCCCGGATTAGTTGGTCGACCCTGCCAAATCAAGGGCACCCTTCTGTGTCCTGTGCCTCGCGACCCATGATCCCCACACTCCTGTGGCAACGTGGCCTTCGGAAGGGTCTTGTGTCCCCTCGCGTGTCCTGTCCAATCGAGTCCGACGGTACTGCCCCTGCTCCAGGCGCTCCTGCTCGGCGCGAACCAGCCCCTCCTTCTCTTCCTCCTCCTCCTCCTCCTCCCTCCTCCCTCCTCCTCCTCCTCCTCCTCCTCCTCCTCCTCCTCCTCCTCCTCCTCCTCCTTCTCCCTCCTCCTCCTCCTCCCTCTACCTCCTCCCTCCCCCCTCCCCCTCGCTCCTCTCCGCCTTCCGCCGACTGTGTGGGGGCGGCGACCAGCGCCGCGCAGCCGCGGCCCCCGCGGGCGAGGCCGCGGCCTCCGCCCCCGCCGCGGCCCCCGCCGGCGGCCGCCGCGGCCCGCCTGGCCGCGCCCCGAGGGGCCGGCGCCGGGCGGTGCTCCCGCGCGGCCAGAGCGGCCCAGAGCACCTGGGCACCCCCAGGAGGCTTCCTGCGATCCGGGGCGGGAATTTCTACATGGCCACCGCCTGGAGGGTGAGTTTTCTGAGCCTCGGCAGGCGGTGGATGTGGACCTCTTCGGGCCCCCGGGGGCCGAAATGTGTCCATATCCGCCGCCCGCTGGGGCACCAGGACGTCGGTTCCCAGGCGGTGGATATGGACACATCCCCGCCTCGCATGCGAGACGCATCTACTGGGAAGCAGGAGGACCCCAGGGACCGACGAGAGCATCCGCACGCCGCGAGTGCCCACTGACCCGCCGCCGCACGGCGTGGCCACCGCGTCGTTTGGGTGCCCGTCGACCCTTCACCAGCCGGAGCGGGCAGGCCAGTGGCAGCGGCGCGAGCGCGGCGCTCCCCTCGCGCGCGCGCGCCGCGCGCTTAGCCGGCTCCTCGGGGCGGCGGCCGCGCCTCGCGGCGGCGGGGCGCGGCGGAGCCATGCCCGCCTGAGGCCCCGGCCCCGCCTGGGACGGGCGACGGGCCGGGCTCGAGGCTTCCCCCAGGGTAAGAGGCGACGATAGGGGCGAATAGCCCAGGGGAGAGCAATGAATGTATTCAGGTGCGCCGATGATCGATGTCTTCGAAAAGGCTCCCGGGCGAATGCGTGTGATGCCCGCCCCTGGGCTGTTCGCCCTTATCGTCGCCGCCGACGGGGGCCCGAGGCGGTGTGGTGACCACGCAGTGTGGTGGGCCCCGCACGTTTGTGGGACGCGGACCGCTCTCGGAGGACGCCTCGGGCGATCGGGGCCTCCAGGGTCCCAGGACGGTGCGGTGACGGACTGCGCGGTGAGTTCTTTTAGGGTTCCGAGGTCGCCGCGCAGTCTGGCACACCACACGGTTTTGGGACCCCCGAATTTCTCAGGGGAGCAAGGGATAGTGATCATCAATGCGTCTCAAGACTTCCAGGAATCCCCAGATTTCATCATGTTTCATGCATCAGTTGCACAAGCGAGGTCCGCTAGATTCGGCGGCGAGCGAGTGGGGGGAAGTGCGAAGGGGCGAGCCTTCTCGGAAGGCTCGGAAATCCCCCGTCTGTATGAGAAGTTTGTAAAGCCTTCCCCGAAGACACCAAAAATCCTTCAGAAGGCCGGAGGCCTTCTGAGAAGCCCCGCCGCCTTCTTAGAAGGCCTTCTCCTTCTCATCTTCCCCCCCTGCTCGCCGATAGATGCTACGGAACTACTGGGAAGTATCCCGAGGCAAGCGCATCATGACATCATGCTCGTGTCACTCCCAGCGAAACAGGTTCGATGTGGTCGGGCGGTTCTCGGAGGTTCCCTTGCCTCGGGGTTCTCTCCAGCAGCCGCGCCTCGCCGAGAGCGCTCGGGGCTTGCCCAGGTCGCCGCGAACGGCCGCGAGAGCCCCGAGCTCAGACCCAAAAGCCAGACCCCGCCGCCAGCCACTGCACTCGGGCAGGTGGTCATGGGGGGTGGCCCACATTGGGGGGTGAAGAGCAGGGCCCTGAAGAGGCCCTTTAGGGCCCCTTTTCGGCACCAGCTGGTCCCAAAAGGGGCCTCAAAGGGCTACTTTAAGGTCCTTTTCTCCCCCCGCATTTCGGAGGAGGAGGAGGAGAAGGAGGAGGAGGAGGAGGAGGAGGAGGAGGAGGAGGAGGAGGAGGAGGAGGAGGAGGAGGTCCCCCTCCATTAGCACCCTCCCGATGCACTCGATGCACGGGCGCCTCCGGCGCCTCCGGAAGGCGCGAGGGGGGGGGCAGTGCGAAGGGGCGAGCCCTCTCGGAAGGCTCGGAAGCGCCGCCTTCCGAGAAGTTTTTTGAGCCTTCCCCGAAGGCACAGAAAGCTTTCAGAAGGCTTCCCGCCGCCTTCTCATTTCCCCCCCTCGCTCGCCACCGATGAGTGGACTCGCGTGCAGTGGTGCTTGTCATGAGGGTGGCAACTTCGGAGCAGGCCCCTCGCCGCCCCTCAGGCGCGCGGCATCGCGCCGCCATGGGCTGCGGCCTGGGCGCCGGCTCGTCCGGGGCGGCGGCGGCGGCGGCCTCCCCAGCCGCGGTCCCGGGGGGAAGGAGGGAGGGCTCGCTCGGGGGCGGCAAAGAGGGGGGTGACGACTGGGGGGGGTGGATCATTATCACGGCGGGGGCCACGATACTTCCCCAAAATTCGCGGCGCCTCTTCTTATTTCATTACGTCCCCCGTCCTCCCCTTGGGCCGCGCACATGCCGCCGGCCATGCTCTGCGCCCCCCCCTCTTGCCAAGAGGGGGGGGGTCGCAGATCATGGCCGGACGGGGGCGCTTGGACGCCCACCTCTTAGACGCCCCCGATCGCAGGGGCTCGTGGCCCTCTGTGTGCCTTTTTCTCTTTCTCCGGCTGGAGCGCCGCCGCCGTGGGCGTCGGCCGACTTCGGGGAGGAAGCTGGGGGATTGGATCTGCTCGGCTCGAGAGGAAGGGGGGGAGGGGAGGGAGGAGGGTGGAAGTGGAGCAGGAGGGAGGGAGGAGGAGGAGGACGAGCAGGGAGTGAGGAAGAGCGCAGGAGGGAGTGGAGGGAGGGGATGGAGGAGGGCGAGGGGGACGAGGGGGACGAAGGGGAGGGGCAGGGAGGATGGGGCGAGGGCGGAGGGCAGGCTGGGCGCGCTCGCGCCAGTGCCGGACGTCCCCGCCCCGCCCCTCCCACTGCGCGCCGAGTGCTGCTCCACCCGCCGGCGGCTGCAGGAGCGGGCGGCCTGGAAGCCCCACGGTGACCCTCCTGCGCGCAGCTTGCGCGATCGGGAGGGGGAGCCGTGCACGTTTCAGGCGATCGCACACGTGGATCGAGGGGGCGTGGATTAGCGACGGGTCGCGTTTCCATGGGAGATCGCGGATTTCCGCCGCCGAGCGAGGCGGCGCGGGCCGCATTTCGGGGAGGGCACCTCCCCCGATCCATGGATTTGGCGACCGCGCGCCATGTCCATGGAACGCTAGTCCATGTTTGCGCGCCCCCGAACATTGGAGGAGGAGGAAGAGCTGGTGGTGGATGATCAGGAGGATGAGCAGAAGAGAGAGAGAGAGAGAGAGAGAGAGAAAGAGAGAGAGGAGAGGCAGTGGTAGCAGGTGCATGAGCACGAGGAGCGAGAGGAGCAGCAGACCCAGGGGAAAGCGCAGGAGGGGGAAGGAGGAGCAACACCGACGAGGAAGGACTCTGATCCAGAAGTGTGGCCCACGCTGGGACGAGAGCACCATTCTGAACGGGGGGGGGTGCGGGGGCAAGCGCGGATGCTGATATCAGGCCAAGCTGCAGCGGGAGTTTTTTTTGTTTTTGAAAAAAGTAACACGACGGCCTGGTCGAGCAAAGAACTCACACGAATCATCCATCAACGCAATCCTTGGCGCTGAAAGCAGTGTGCTTGAGAAAAGGCGCCCCACTCGCACAGAACCTGGGCATAGAGGGGATGAGAGCAGTTATACACATAACGGGGGACAGGACCCAGGGGCCCAGGGGCCGCGACCCTGACCACAAGTGGGTGTGCCGGGGGCCCCAGGGTGCTTCCGGAGCGCGGGGGGCCTTCTAAGATCGCCCGAAGACGGCCCCAGACTGCCAGTAATCGCCTTTCTCGACGGCCAAAACGACCAAGGACGGTAGAGATGACCCCAGAATTAGCCCCAGACTCTTCAACATGCCTCCCAGACGCCCCAAGATGTCTCCAAGAGGCTTCCCAAGAGGGCCCAAGGAGGCACAAATCGTTGATTTTACATAGGTTTGAAGTATTTTTGAGTTTTCGTCTTTCCAGTTTCCCGACGCTCCGACGGCCCAACAGGCCCCAATGTCCGCTCCAACACAGCCCAAGAGGCCTCCAAGAGGGCCCCAAGAGCGTCCAGGCGTCCGAGGCGTCCAAGACGGCCTGAGAGCATTCCAAGACGGCCCCAAGAAGGACAGGAGGGGTAATCCGAAATGACAATCCGAGCTTCCACCTCGAGAGGCTCCCTGGAGGACCCAAGAGGCCCCCAAGAGGTCCCTAGAGGCCCCTAGAGGCTCCCCAGAGGCCCTAAGAGGCCTCCAAGAGGCCTCCCATGCGCGCCCGAAGAGGCAAACATTGTTGATTTTCTGTAGGTTTTTAAGAGATTTTCGAGTTTTCGCTTTTCCAGTTTCCCGATGCTCCAAGATGGTCCAAGAGGCCCCCAAGACCGCTCGAAGACTGTTGAAGAAGCTTTCAAGAGAGGCCCAAAACGGCCCACGAGGGCCCCAAGACAGTCCCTGAGACGCCCAAGACGGCCCGAGAG